CCCCCCCCCCCCCCCGCAGATACCAAAGGCTGCAGATGCTGAAGTCCCTGATATAAAACGGTATGAAATCATCTCTAGATTACTTATAATACCTCTTACAGTGTAAATGCTTTGTAAGTCGTTGTTGTGCTGTGTTTCTGTTTGTTTGTTTATTTTGGGTGGCTGGCCGGTACAGGGATCTGAACTTTTGACCTCAGTATGTTACAAGGTGGCACTTTAATGAACCAGCCCCTGGTATACTGTATTATTTAGGGAATAGTGAAAAGAAAGTCTGTACAGGCTCCTTTTTTTTAAAATGAGTATTTTCTATCCCCAGTTAGTTGAATCCTCCCATGCAGAACCCACCAGTGCGGATCCCACCAATGTGGAGGGCTGACTGTGCTTCACTCTCCTATGCCGGCTTAGCCCACCTTATCCTGATCAAGTGTCACTGGTAATATCTAAGTGTAGTTGTTGGGGGTTTACCCACTTTGTTGATGCATAACCTATAGATGTGATAACTGCTCTGTTTAGTGCAAATAACTGGAACCAAAGTTCCATAGAAATTATTAGCTATTGATATTATTATAGTGTTATTTCACATTAACTTACAGTAATTTAATGGAGAAATAAAACTTTTTTCTTTTTTTGGTGGCTGGCCTGTACAGGGATGCGAACCTGTGACCTTGGTGTTATAAGATTGCTCTCCAAGCAACTGAGCTAACCAGCCCAGCCCCTGAGAAATAAATACTTTTTATCAGCCTAAGAATCCTGCTTGCCTTAGCAGTAATTTCTTGTTTTGAATAGTATTTAAACATTTCAGTAATAGTTAATTTCTGAAATCAGAACTCAGATTTCCTAAGCAAGCGATGTATTAGCTCTTGCTTTTTTCTCGTGTTAGTGATTTTATTTATTTATTTATTTATTTTTTCCTTTTTGTCTTTTTTCATGTCCGGCAACGGACCGCAACCCTCAGTGTTGCGCCCGTACCGGACCGGGACCGGCAACGGGATCGCAACCCTCAGTGCTGCGCCCACCCCTTGCTCAGCCAGTGAGCGGGAACTGGTCTGTATGTGGGATCCGAACCCTCGGCGGGAGCGCCACCACGCTCTCAAGCAGCGCACTGTAGCAGTGTGCCACCGGGCCGGCCCCTTGTGTTAGTGATTTTATAGTCTATACTTTTGGCCGTCCAGTGGCCTCAGATTTTTGGAGAAGTAGGTGTGGTATTTCAAGAAAAGCCAAGAGGAGGCTCATTTTCTTTGTGTGGAGAGGAGGGGGTGAAGGGCCTGGGCTTCAGAAGTAGCAGTGGGGGCAGTAGCGGTTTGGTTTGGCTTGTTTTTCTTTATGCAGAATTCTAGATTCCAGTCCTTAACAGAGATGAATAAGTATTTCCCCTTTGTTTACATAATCAGAATGTTTAAATAAATCCTTGCTTTCAAGAGTAGAATTCATGAGCCAGGGCAGTTGGTGCCTTTTCTGATCCTACAACCATGTCTGTATACATTTTTATTTTGTTAGAACATTGAACATTTTGAATGATCAGACTTCATGACACATGCTGAGTCAAGCTTTCAGCTGGTTTATCCAGGATCAGTTTCCCTCCGTGGGGGTGAAGCTGGCTGTGTAGGGCTTTCAGAAGTCCCACTGCTTTTTCTTACCCCAAACAGCGTGGAGCCCCTGGCCTCGACAGCTGCAGGCCGCTCGCTCTGCTGCAGTGAAAACCATCTCTGTGTTGAATGGTGAGGAGTTTAGTGTTTACTAAATGTTGAACATGCTCCGGCTTGAGTAATGCTAAGATTATATAGAATGTACTAATCTTTACTACATTTTAAGGACCTGGCTTTGGTTATTAGTTAACGTGGCGGTAGCACCATGTGGGATAGGACTGCTTGTTGTCATGGTTTCTTCTTACTCTCATGAACTAGGTTATTTTAGGTTGTTATTGGCTCTCTCACCTTTATGTCTTTTTTTTTTAAAGATGACTGGTCAGGGGATCTGAGCCCGTGGCCTTGGTGTCATCAGCACCACACTCTCCCGAGTGAGCCCCGGGCCGGCCCCTCACCTTTCTGTTTGAATATGAGAAGAGAAAGCTTTCTTCAGTCAGTGTTTTCTGTTTGAGATAAGTAAAAAGTGGTATATCTAAATGTGTGTATACGTGGTACAGATTTCCAGTGATTATTTCTTGAAGAACCACATATAAAACCATTTGGTGTTTTCTGCTGTTTTCCCTGTGACGAGTTACTGAGGAAGGAAACAAGTGCCTGTCTGCTGATGAGCAGGGCGTTGCGTGTGGCCCGCGTCGGAGGGTGCTTTTTCTGACTCACGAGTCTGCCTTCTGGGCGATTTGCCGTCACAGGCATCAGTTTCACAAGATGTAAATGGTTTCACTTTTATTTTAACAGTGCTTGGATATATAGTAAGTAGTTATAATCCAGACAAAACTCAAATTTTGCTTGAACATATTTAAAAATTTTTAAATGTTACATAAAATTAGTATTGATTTAGCAGTGTTTATACCCACACTTTCAGCTCTAAAGAGCAAATAATGCGTAGCTATTTCCTAAACTTATGTTCATATTCTTTAGAATTTTGGGTTTCTTAATGGTGTCTTGTTTTTATGACTATAAATCTGAGAATCTGCTTTTACTTTTGGGCACAAAGATTTGTTTGGTTAATGGATTTCTTTGGTGTGGGAATAGCTTAAAATACTAGATTATTTGTTTTCAAAAAGCAAAGCACTCTGGTTATTTTTGTATAACTCAAAGGAAAATGAGATGCTTCATTTCAAAAGGCCTTGATGTAAAAATGTGTTTCATAGTTTCTTGGCAAATATGTTTATGGAAAATCCTATTCAATTTTCAGTAAAATAATCGGCACTAAAGAACAAAAATGCCTTCCTTTGTCAAGTATTTGAAAATTGTTTCAGTGAATATAATCTTATTTTTTTCCAACTATTTTCAGAGTAATTCTTCAGTCCAGTGTTCAGAGCTGTAAAACATCTGAACCTAACATTTCTGGCAGTGCAGGCATTACTAAAAGAGCCACCAGATCTGCTTCAAGGAAAAGCAGTTTTAAAAGGTGAGAAAAGAATCCCGTTCTTCTGAGAAGTTCCATTCATTGGTTTTCCAGTTTAATGTTTTGGACCCTACTTTTGGAGATTGACATGAAGATAGGAGACGGTAGACCCTGTGGTGGGAAATTAATCAATGTGTTTTACTTGTTCATCATCTGAGAAGATCCGGACCATTTTAATGTAGGCTTTTGTTTTGCTTTCAGAGGTAATTCTCAGCACCGGAAGTGTGGTCTCTGGGTCATGCCGTGGGATAGTTGAGAATGTTGCTCTTTTAGGTTTTCAGATTAAGAATCTACACAGCCCTGTGTCAGGACTGAGGGGAAGTGTTTCTGTCCGTGTATCAGCTGCAGCGTCCCTGTTGGAGAATCAGCTGCAGAGAAGCGTGATGGTGGAAATGTGATGCGTTGTTGAGTCTGGGATCCTTCTTTACCTGACGACTCTGTCGTCTTCGCCACAGTCCCCACTCAAAGGTGCTGGTCCTTTGACGTTTAGCCCCCAGCGTTCTTTATGTCTTCATTAGGTACAGGCTTCAACAAGAAAATGGACACGTTCTGTGACCAAATCAGTGACTCGCTGTTGTCTGTGGGCATCTGTCCCGAACTAAAGGTGGTGGGCATTTCATTTTTTAAGTATTCTGAACTAAATCCCTTCTGAGGGAAGAGTAGATGCCCCATCACTGTCGTTTCAGGAGTGGGCAGTGGCCGCCCTGCGTGCTCTGCATCTTTGCCTGTGAGGTCCACTTTTTGTGCTCGTGGTGTCACAGACCTAGTGGTCTGAACGTGATCAGAACCGGACCTCAATGTCGCCACGATTCTCCTTGCTGCTTTTTAACTTGCCTGCCCTCTGTCTGAGGCTTTGGGCCCACGTGCCTCATGGAGGGGGTTAGTCCCTGGTGTGTGCCAAAGCTCCGCATGCATTGCACTTTGAGGAATTGTTCGGTTCTGTCATTTTTCCTCTTTGCCAATTCTTTGCAGCATTTTACTACATACTTAAATTCAGGTGAGAATGTGACAGCACCCCAGCATGAATATTTGAGAATCACTGGGCACTGATTCATGATTTTAGGATTTGAGACTTTCATTAGACATATGTCAGAGATATCCATACTCTCCTTACTTGCTGATTCCACTTGAGAAGAAGGTGACAGGAGTGCTGACAAAGGTCACAGATTTAGGTACATTATAACATAGTACCAGAGTGTTACTTATAACAGTGAGAAATAGAAAATGGGCTAATTATTATTAAATAACACCAAATGAGTTGGTCTAACACCATGACCTGGACAAATGCTCATGAAACAGGAAGTAGGAAGAGCCACACAGGAATTCTGAAGTATTACTCCAATTTTGTAATGAGTAATATACTATATTCGTATAGACTTGTACAGATGAATAAATATTTATAAGCATATAGATATTTAAAGATGTACAAATTTTTATATATGTATAGAAATAACACAAAGGAAAAATATGTCGTAATACTAACAGTTCTTCTGGTTGGTGGAATAGTTGGAGATTTTTCCTTTTTCTTTTTTTTATCATTTTCTTATTTTCCTACTTTTTAACAATAAATGGAGTGACTTTGACACTTTTAGGTGAATCAAACTATTAAAAATTCAAATAAAAAACCTACTGTTTGTGGCTCTTAATTTCGGCATGTTTTGAATGAACGTGTTCTTTCCAGGTATAAGTGCTCAGGCTTCCGCTTCAGTCTAGTACGTCTTGCACACTTAATTCTGCTTTTTGCGTTTTGGGGTTGGGCTTTTTAGGTTATAGAGGAGTAGAGTCCAGGAGCCCGGACGGAGCTTGCCGTGTTCCGTGGAGGAGGGTTGGCTGCAGCTCAGTTTTCCTATCCAGGTCTTGCTGCTTTTTCCCTGTCACTCTATGACCTAAACTTGTGGTTCTCAGCACAGGTGGTTCATGACCACAGAGAGCATCTGCCTGGGGTCGCTGGGCTGGATGCTCTGAGATCTCTAAAGCGGATTTTGGCCAGAGACAGCTGGACTGAATGTTGAAGTGGCCCAGAGCAGTTTCCAGGAATTTTGGATAGTACTGAAAACCAGAGACTTATGTTAAATTCCAAAATGAACTTTCAGAGATGATTAGGAGAGCCCAAGAATAAAACACTGAGAGTTAATTGGGTTTCATGGTTCATTCAACCACTTTTCCTCCCTGTGGGTGTTTTGTGTTTTGTTTTTGTCGTCGTCGTATTCGGCCTTTTTCAAAGCTTTGGCCTGTGTTCGCTTCACCTTCACCGTTACCCACCTACAGCTTACGAAAGAAAGGTGACCAAATTATGTGTGGATTTCGGAGTCAGAGGCAGCCAAACTGCTTCTGTCCTACTGATTATTATTCAATTTTGGTTGGAGAGTAATGAGGGGATTAACATAGGTGTATCATCTGATTCTGAGCAAAACAGTACGAGGTAATGCTCCTGAGTAATTTTATAGAAAAAAGCGGAACAGCCTTTTGGTGGCGGCCGTGCCCTCTGCGAGGTCCCGTGTTGCAGCCAATGGTGTTGACCGCGGTGGCCGCGAGGCACAGGAGCCTGGCCTTCCCAGGAGCGTTGCGCTCTAGAGCGCCTGGGAAGAGGCCGCACCCAAACCCACCTGGCGCTGAACTGGCCCTTTTGATTTTTGACAGTTTTCTGGGAGGCTCTTCAACTTTGGAGAGCTTTTTCACAAACGTTAAAAGAGCAGGGACCAGGGGCTGGAGGAAAAAGGTCATCATGAGTACTTGTGGCTGGGAAGGTGCCAGCCCGCTCCCTCCGCAGGCTGAGGTCCCTGCTGTCGGGGCTGGCAGCCGCCACCACGCTGCTCTTGTAGATTCGTGGAGGCCGTGGGACCGGGCCTCAGGCCTGGCCTGTCCTGGGCGCTCCCAGGAAGGTCACATCACCCATCGCTGACGCTCCCTTCAGTCACTCTTCACGCAGCTCTTCCATTGAGAGCGGGTTTCTAGAAGCTTGTGCTGTTTCTTTTGGGCAGTCTTTTACTTTTTTTGGATTTTAACTTTATCTGTTCTCTTAAGAAAACTGTCATGTACTAGTGACTTTTTGTTCCATGTCACCTTGTTGGGAGCCTTCACCGTGTGACAGCTGCCACCCTGGCGTGCTGGCGTCGGGTGTCTGCGCCTGGCTGCTCACGTTCCTCAGCCTCCAAACCAGCAGCATCTTCACGCGTCCTTCGGTCGGGAGTGGCGACATCGAGGACTTGGTCCTTTAGTCTTCTCTTTTGTGGCGTCCACTGTCACCATTACACTTGTCACTGCTTCTTGACCCTCAGTGTCTCAGACCTCAGTTTCCCTGGGTTCAGTCCTTTGTTACTGCTGTTATCTCCAAAAGCACGTCAGCATGGGAGGCCAGTGTCGTCTCTCTGAATATTCTTCTTTTAAGTGCTGGTTCCTTCTGATCTATGAAGCTATTAATGTCCCTTTGAAATTCTAGATGTTTTCCTACTTGCTCCACCTGCTGACCCAAACCTTTTTGCTCAGTCCTTCTGGGGTCCCTGCTAGAGCAGCAGCCTCTGACCAAGGGTCACTGCAGACTGGACGTGGCTCTTCTGACTCTATTGGTTTTTCTCCGAAAGTGACTGTCGAGCTGGAAGTGTGACGTACTGAGCCGGGGCAGGAGAGGGGGACGCAGGGCGAGAAGCCTGGGCCGTGCCTTAGGGCCAGAGCTGGGGCTCAGGTCCCCGTGCCCTGCAGGCCGGGGCCGTGCCCACGGAGCTTGAGCTGCCCGAGCTTTTGCTGTGACCACATTCTGGCTTCGGGAACAATCCAGTAACACTTCTCTGTCTCTCCACTCTTTCTCTTTCCCGCAGCCTGGTTCCTCAGAGGGAAAGAAGGAAATGGAGAGCTTTGCAGCAAGTGCCCTTTGCCGCGCTGTGGTACTCTCCCTGCTGTGCTGCTGCCTCCGTCCTCCCGCCCGGCGTCATGTTTATTTGTTTTTGCTGTTCTCATGTGTTTTTTATTTTTTGCAGATCTAAACCTTTTTCTGCTCTGCCTTTCTCTCCTGTTTGTCTTTACTTTATGGTTGATATTGTACTGTCTTCTCCAAAGTATTTAGAATTATTAAATACTTTAATGTCAATTACATACTTTAAGTCATTAAAGAATTATGCAGAGCGCATACTTTTTAGCATGTCGATATTTTTTATTATGTTGCCTTCTTTGTCTTTGACAACTGCTTTAAACCCTTCATGGTAAAGTCC